AAGCCAGTCAGAGTAAATCTCAGCAATCCAGGTTCTGCCCTCATAATCCCTAGTGCAGTTGTGACAAGGGAGTTTGCCTTTCTAACACAGACAACTGTAGGCTGCCCAGGATTAGGAGCAATTTGGGGAAGTATAATGTCTCTTGAAGGACCCAGTCCTGTAACAACCTCTGCACAAGCCTAGGTTAGGAATTACCAAATTGGGGTCTGGGATAAATGAATAAAACAATGGTGATAAAAGTGTTTTAGGAACCCAGTGCATCTGTCCAGAGAGAATTATCTCAATTACCTCTATGGCCTTGTTCTTTTCCAGCCTCTTTATACTGAGATGGTGACAGTCTCCGCAAACTTTGCTGTGTCTTTGCATTGAAACAGACTGCTGTCACTCAGTTGCTAGGAGCAAGAGAGCTATGTATGCTCTGAGGAGATGCTGTGCTTCAGCATAAGTTATTGATCAGGATTGTTTCCTTTTAATCTAGTGCGGGGTAGGCAACCTTTCCCCTTTAAGGGCCGAGGGACTTCAGCTCCCAGAAGCCTCAGCCATGTTGGCCAATAGTCCCATGTTGGCCAATAGCTCCTGGGATTCTGGGAGCTGAAGTCCCTCGGCCCTTAAAGGGGAAAGGTTGCCTACCCCTGATCTAGTGCATGCTCAGACCCAGTGTATGGAAAAGTTACTTTTGAGGTTTACAACTTCCAGAATCCACCCCCTGCTATCTTGGCTAGTGGCCATGCTGGTTGAAGGAATCTGGAGTTTTTAGTCAAAATCTTGACTTTTCCAAGTTCTGCTGAGAATGGTGACTCACACAAACTCAGAGTGGTGTAGTTCTCTCTGAGGGGAGATGATATGTAATATAAAAGAAGCTTCGCAATATAAACTTACCTGGGTATAAGACTGAAATATGCCTCAGGATATTTGTGTGCCTTGGCTATATCAGAAGTCTGAAAGGCCTGGGCTAGAGGCTGCATATTTGTAGAGCAGTCATGATACAGAGATTATTTCAATATAGTGAGGAAAAATAAAAGCATGTCATCTGGTTTTGAGGGAACGTATTACAGGAAAATTATTCCGTTGCCCATTATTTGTGCTGTAGAAAGTTCAGTTTACAACCTTCCTTGTAATGTCAAAAGGAAATCTGAGAGAAAAATAGAATGCTCATTGTTGGATTCCGTGAGAAGAACGAAAAGAGTAAAACTTCTACATAAAAGAACATGACAGTCTGCATAGTGGCAGGAAAAAATGGTGTATTAGGACAATATTGATTGCTATTTTTTTTTAAAAAAAAGTTAACTACAGACAAGGCATAAAGAGAAGTCACAGTGTGGTCTCAGTCAGACTTTGGAATTGTTTCTTTGGACTTTAGTTCCCCAAATCCTCAACAGCATAACCGCTGTCAATTATGGGGTTTTGTTTTGGAGGCCAAAGGATACATTCTTGCAGATCTGAACCCACAGTATAAGTCCGTTTCTGTTTGAACATTGCAGTTCATATGGCAACTGCATTCTTTTGAGGCAAACACTGATTCAGCCTTTTATCCACACTTCTCCACATTCATTTTTATTTTTAGCTTTTAAAACAAGAAACATTTTGCAAAGTCTTTCAAAATTAGCCTGGAGATTTAGATAGTGTGTGTATATTTGTGTCTCTCTGTGTATGTGCACTAGTTGGCATGCATGTATGGTCTTTGCCATGCATTTGTATAGACCAGTTTTCTTACAGAGCTCAACCCAAAAGAAGAAAAGTTCTGAAGGGGCTTTCAAACTGCCCCTGTTGTTCTCTTCTCATCCAGAGTTACAAGCTGAGCCCTCCTTTATTTCTCTAAAAAATTTTGTGAGATCTCTGAGTAAGCTTCCATGATGCTGTAGGGGAACTTGCTATTTATCACTTCCCGCAAGGCTTCATTGATGAATACCATTGTTAGCATTTGGTGGTCTCCGTAGCACTGATTGTCAGACAGAATTATTGTGACTACGTATTTGTCTTTAAAAAGCTCAAAATGGTAGAAAATCTCTTTTGCAGAGAGACAAAGTGAGCTTGTCTTTTGAGGATCAGTATTGATTGCTTGCCTGTGTGGTCTGGAGGCTTGTGGGGCTGTTCTGTTTCTTTTGAGACAGTGTGCTGTCCCTGAGAGAACCATCATCGTATAAGTGCTTTGAGTGTGGACTACAACTCTGGAGACCAGGGTTTGACTCTCCGCTCAGCCATGGAAACTCACTGGTTAAACTTGGGTAAGTCACATTCTGTTAACCTCTGAGGAAGGCAAAGATTAAAAACCCTTCTGAACAAATGTTACCAAGAAAACCCTGTGATAGGTTCACCGTGGCTTGCTATAAGTCAGAACTGACTTGAAGGCTGGTAAAATGTGGGCTGGACAAAGCTGGTAAATAAAACAAGCTGGTAAAATGTGGGCTGGACAAAGTAACTGTTACATGGA